ACGAAAGCTGTGTCTAACGACTACAAGATGTTCGAGAATATGGTCGCACATGCAATCTTTTGTTCGTCTCGAAGGAACGGTGTAGGAGGAATTCCATTTGATGACTTCTTTGCTTGCTTGCTGGGTGAATTTCAAGATTTGTTTTGGAAAAAGATCGATATGCACATGCATGGTCGGATAGATCATAAGATTGTTGCCTGTGATCTATTGAATGATTATTCGGCAGACTTCCAGCGTTTGTCGAGTACGATTATTTCCTTCCTCGCTCCTCCCAATGCTGAGTGGCCGGAGTGAATTCTCGATCAAAACTCTTACGGGTGCAATTTTGGTCATTTGGTTCGTCCCAGAAATAATGAACGGTGTGATATCTACGTTCAAGACGCGGATATCAAGAATGAAAAACCGATTTTCATCTGCGAGTGCAAGCACTGGGAAAAGAAATCGATATGAGCGTAGTGAACCAGATCATTGTTGGACTGAGTAAGCTGAAGTGGAAGTGGGAGGTCGTGTTTATGTTTTGTGTGACGCTGGCGAAGTTTCGTACGCCTTGGGGGCATCGAAGCGTTGGCTGCGTCAAGAGTAATTACCGGGATGGGGAAGTAAATTGGATTTTTCAACCAGCTGAAATTACGGATCGACAACAACTTTTGATTGTGTTTGAAATCAGAGGTCAGGATAGCCCTGACGTGAAAAAGAACGACGACAGATTCACTAAAAACATTCAATGCAAAGGCGATGGCAAACCCGCGGTAATGTAGAATAGCGCGCACATCTCTCGATGAGAGAGTCAGGCAAGCTTAGCAAAGTAAGCACTGCTGGATTTGCTGTCTAAAGCCTCAACCGCGCCATTTGCATGTTGAGGGATTTTCGAGTGTATTGTGACTGTTGAAAAAATAATGAAGTACTCTTACCCAAACATGATTAATAACACCGTTCATTCCAAAATTGTTCTAATGTCATTCGTATATTACGAAATGTAAGAAACACAGATATGAATAGATAGTTGAATAATGGTGAGCTAGTTAAATCATCACTCAAGACCGAATATTATTCAACAAAAGCTTTTCCTATTTCTTCAAATCAAGATACAATTTCAACAAACAAATCTGTTCATTTTCATGTTATGAACGTGATTCTCGTTTTTCGATGCCATCACTTCCAAGTGTTGATGCTTTTTCACTACTTCATCTCATTTTTCATCTCGTCATTCATCTCTTGCGGCACTTTGTATGCCAATTTCAATGGAAAGTGAGGAATCTCATAGAAGTTTAACACCAATTTCTGGTATGATGGATCTACGACTTGATTCATCGAGGCATTTACCATTTACACCAAATCAATTACATCAAAATGCTTATACATTTGCTCGAATATTGCCATACATTCGATGTGATACATGGTCAAGTACATTACAACCATTAAAAACAATGATACAAATGCCATCATCTGATACTTTCTTGAGTCGAAAACGAAATCGTTCAACTGATTCAGATAAAGCAATTAATGCTGCGATTGAAGCATCGGAAAAGATTCATCCAACACAAACATCAGGATTCCAAACTCCTGTACCTACAGATAGTGAATTTTATCGACGAGCACGATTTTTACAATTGGCTGGTATTATTATCAAACGAATTCATCGATTTGAACAAATTATTTCAATGGATTCGTCACGAGTCATTTGTCATTCATTTGAAATAGTTTCCACGTCTCATATTTCAGCCAATCAGATGCAACAACACCCATGGTTGACAACTTCAACATTACCTGTTGGTAATATCCATCATTATGTGACTAAATGAATACATCACTGTAGAGCTACTCCACAGTTGAAAAGAAATCAGCAAGTGGGAACATGGTGACGCTTTTCTGCGCAATTGTTGGTGAGAAAGGAAGCGCGTTCTCTGTGGACATCGACGCTAGCCAGTCGGTGGATCAGTTAAAGGATGCTATTGCGCAAGAGAAGAAGTATGATTTTGCTGCGGACGAGTTAGAGCTATATCTCGCGAAGAAGGGCGAATCGTGGCTAACTGAGAATGAGGTGAAGAATAGTGTTAGAGACATAAGTAATTTTGTGCCATTGGACGTTTCGAGGGCGCCGCTAAACATAGTTGGTTTATCGGAGAATGATGTTTACTATCAAGTCACGGTGGAGGATAATAAGGCGAAAAAGGTCCCTGTGAATGTGTTGGTGGTGGTTCCTTCGCAGAAAGCCGCCCAAGATGTTTTTAATCGCTGTAAGCATCCGTTCTTCTCACAATTTCCCATGGCGCATGAAGTTAAGAGCTGGCTTGAATTTCCGTCGTTGGAGCCGCCAACGAAACTTCCAAAGTTCTACATTCGCTCTTCATACAGATCGATCGCTACTCAAGCTCTATCAAAAGCAGACCCAAGCATGGTCAAATACGCAGTCATCACTGGCACGCCTGGGATAGAAAGTCATTGATTATGTACTACGTGATGTGGAAGTTGATAAAGGAGAAGAAACGAGTGCTGTTTTTTTCCATAGTCGGACCTATTTACTTTGATGGTTCCGCCATGATGGAGTGCGAGAAATTGCCTTCTCAACTCGAGTATGAGTTCTGGTCGTCCGATTTGTGGTGTCTTATGGATTCGGTGGACCCAACAAGTATTGCCGGATTATCCCTCCATGAATGCTCAGTTTTGCTCGCAAGCACACCGCGATGGGATTATATTAGTGAGTTTAAGAAGTTTGTTCCAACTCCAGTTGTACTCTACATGCCATTGTGGACAAAAGAAGAACTTAGTACCATCGCTTTCTTATATCCAGATGCAAACAAAGTGTGGGTGAACCGGTTTAACTGCTTAGGTGGTGTGCCTCGTCTAGTGTTGCAAGACATCCAAACAGACCCGCAAGTTCTATTGACGTGGGTATGCAATAGTTGTTCTCTCGATGACTGTATTATGTTGGTGTCTATATACTCTGAGATAAACTCGGTTCAGACTTTCATCGACAGCCAAGAACCGTATCAAAAGTACGAAGTCGTCTATGCTTCAGAACTGGCGGTGCAAGTGATCGCTCGAACGAAGTGGCAGATGGTTCGCGCGAAGATGCAAAACTTTCTTGGTTCGTGTGAGAATGGAGTCCCACTAGCACAATCGTTGTGCGGCTACACCTTCGAATCATATGCGATGGATTTGCTGGAGAGAGGCGGGAAATTTGTATGCCGTAAGCTGCATTCTGGTGCCGAAATGCAAAAGCTTCACGCGATCAAACGCCGAAGAGGTACTACAGGTAATAAAGACGAAGAGGAAATCAGCATTCCAAGATCGTTGCAGTGTCGGCAAATAGTGGAGCGTGTGGATGTCGGTCAAGTTGCAAATCAGCTGTACGTGCCACGGACATGGAATTATACTGCTATTGACGCTTGGATGCCGCACGTCGGTGGATTCCAAATGACGGTAGGAAAGAAGCACGACATCAAGGGTGGAGCGGCAACCGATCTCGCCAAATTGGGTGAAAACGGTAACCGGCTATATTTTCTGCTTCCACCCCAATACTACCATTCGTTCACGAAGAAAACTCCCCAGACCATCGAGCAGTATGCAATCCTTATACCTTATCCAGAGGTGGTGTAGTATATATATCCTGAACTCAAATTGACAAAAATGAGTTCAATAAGAGTTCTTGCTAGATTTTTGGCCAAGACAAAACAGAGCCGTGAGTTTTACAAGGTCTAATAACACAACCCCACGTACCACATAGCGTGAAAGCAGCAGAGGTGTCTCTTTTTATGGGAGTCCCATCGATGTTTTATGTTTGTATCTGACGACAGGACCATTTAAGTCAAAGAGACCTCACTTATACGAACAGCGAATCACCCCTCACACTAATCATGACACCTCATCGTGGTACTTTACTTTGGTATATCGCTATGGAGATTATCTTTGAAAATGAGACCTCAATGGCGTATGGCACAGCACCTGGAGATCGTTACTCCACTTCAGGAAACCATCAAGTCATGCGAATTGGATAAGCAACACAGATTACCGGCTCGGTGTCGGGGAAGATGTGATGATGAATAGTGCCAGACAGACCTCTAGCGTATTATTGCAGACCTAATGATCCCATATCTCATTAACTGAGCTCTGAGTACATTAGCTAAATTACTTTGGTCAAATAATTTAGCGACTATAGTTGTCTTGTTTACAAGGATGTTAAACGAGACTTCGTATCGAATTGTTACTCTATGTCTGACTAGCATACCTGCTGTCAGGTTTGATCGGTGGCGCGCCCTCAACGATCTACGATGAGTACATAATATTATATTCTGCGTTCGGTTCATGATTGAGCTGATAACTAATCTGAAAAACTACAAAATGATAGTAGAAGACTAAACTACAAATCACTTTCTAAAAACTTAATTTGACAGTGGTTCAGTCTCAAGCTCCAGGGTACTCGATGATTATAGTGGTGAAAGCAAGCTCAGCTTCGATTCCATCACTAAATGAATATCACCAACCGCTAAATGTGATAGAGTTTTGAAGTGTTTCCTTCCGACGGATCATTCCCATCGAAAACGAGCGACTATAAATACCAATGCCCGACCTCAACATATATTTTCTCACAAGTATAATTTACATTCAAGACGACTTTCCAAAGCCGCGTCTGTTTTGCAAATGTATTTATTTTGATAGAAAACTGCCCGTTAATGAGCCTTAACGGTCTAAAAAAACGCACTTTCATGTGCGACGTTGGGGATGTGCATCAATGGGAGGATACTCTGAAACGACCGTGTTCGAATTTCTCGGTGTTTCTTAGCTCACACGTTTTTTCACACTCTAAAAATTTCTTTGTGCGCCATCAGCCTGTCCTAACGTCGACCGTGTCTACCATGTCGTCAGAGGACAAGCGCCGTTTGCTGCAACCAGAAGTTCCAGCTGCAACCGAACAAGTACCGCAGGTGTATCGGTCACTGAACTTTCGAAGTCTGCAAGACCCATACTCGAATCGTAGTGGAGAGACTATGGCTAGCCACTATAGTACGTTGCGCACTGACAACTTGGAATCGATGCTTGATGGAGGTCTCGAAAAGTTTTATAAAAAATTTAACCACTTGTCGCGCAAAATTAATCTTCAGCTGCCTACACCCGAGGTGCGATTTCAGGACTTGTCATTTTCTGTGCAAGTGCCGGCGAGCGTGGGTGGTCACAGTACGGTTGGATCACACCTCGCATCAATATTTAAGCCATGGGAGAAAATGCCTACGGTAACCAAACATGCCCTCCATCCAATGACTGGGATTATCAAGCCCGGATCAATGACGCTGATTCTAGCAAATCCTGGGGCTGGCAAGTCGACGTTTTTAAAAGCAATGGCCGGTAAATTACAAAACAATAAACAGACGGAGATTGGTGGCGAAATATTGTATTCTGGATTAAGAGGTGACGAGATCGACCTGATCAAGCTGGTGGGTCTTGTCGATCAGACCGATAATCATATTCCAACGCTCAGTGTTCGCGAGACGTTTAAGTTTGCTGACATGTGTGTAAACGGCCGTCCCGAAGATCAACCGGAGGAGATGCGTGACATCGCTGCACTTCGTACGGAGCTCTTTATTGAGATTTTGGGTCTTGAAAATTGTGCGGATACAGTCGTCGGTGACGCTTTGTTGCGAGGAGTAAGTGGTGGTGAACGTAAGCGAGTGACTGTTGGAGAAGTTTTAGTTGGTGGTCAGAGCTTGTTCCTTTGCGACGAGATTTCGACGGGTCTCGACAGTGCCGCCACTTTTGACATTGTCAAGTCCATGCGTACATGGTGCAAGACATTGGGTGGATCTGTGATTGTGGCCTTACTGCAACCAACACCTGAAGTAGTCGAAATGTTCGATGATATCTTAATGGTCCACGAAGGTCACATGGTATATCACGGACCGCGGACAGAGATTCTGGACTATTTTGAAAAGCTTGGCTTTACCTGTCCGCCGCGGGTCGATCCTGCTGATTTTTTAATCGAAGTTACGTCGGGGCGAGGCACACGCTATGCCAACGGAAATGTAGATACCAGGAGTCTGCCTGTTACGGCCGAAGAGCTTAATAATCTTTTTTGTCAGTCAGAAATATATCAAAAGACTCACGAAGCTATCAGCAGAGGGTTTAATGAACATCAATTTGAAAACGCCGAAGATTTTGCCAAGGCCAAAAGTGTTGCTAATCTGGCGCGTTCAAAGCAAAGTTCGGAATTTGGCTTGGCTTTCATTCCCAGTACGTTGTTGCTGTTAAACCGTCAAAAGTTAATTTGGTTGCGAGACCCGCCACTTCTGTGGGGAAAGTTGCTCGAAGCTCTTATCATCGGTCTTGTCATGGGCATGATATACTATAATGTGAGTTCGGCGTACTATTTGCGCATGATCTTCTTCAGTATAGCTCTTTTCCAACGTCAAGCGTGGCAGCAAATTACCATTTCGTTTCAGCTGCGCAAAGTTTTCTACAAGCAACGACCTCGTAATTTTTTTCGAACTACCTCTTATGCTATTGCTGAGAGTGTCGTGCAGATTCCGGTAAATGTGGCTGTCTCTTTCGTCCTTAGTACTTTTTTCTACTTCATGAGTGGTTTAACGCGGACGTTCGAGAAATATATTGTATTTTACTTGGTGCTGCTGTGTTTTCAACACGCTATTAGTGCGTACATGACAATGTTAAGTGCATTGTCGCCGAGCATCACGGTTGGTCAGGCTCTTGCTTCTATCTCAGTTAGTTTTTTTCTCTTGTTCTCTGGTAACATTATCCTAGCTGACCTTATCCCGGACTATTGGATTTGGATGTACTGGTTTTCTCCTATATCGTGGGCGCTGCGGAGTAACATGTTGTCAGAATTTTCGAGTGATCGCTACACAGCTGCTCAAAGCAAGAAGTTTTTGGACAGCTTTTCCATAAAGCAGGGCACGGAGTATATTTGGTTTGGAGTTGGGGTCCTCATTGCCTATTACTTTTTATTCACGACGCTTAACGGTCTGGCATTACACTACATTCGCTATGAGAAATACAAAGGGGTTAGTGTGAAGACCATGACCGATAATACAGCTAGTGACGAGGTATACGTTGAAGTAGGAACCCCAAATGTTCCTAACGGCGGTGTTGTCAAGAGCGGTGGTTTGCCGTTCACGCCGTCCAATTTGTGTATTAAGGACCTTGAATACTACGTGACACTGCCGTCAGGTGAAGAAAAGCAGCTTCTACGTGGCATTACGGCACATTTTGAGCCTGGACGTATGGTTGCATTAATGGGTGCAACAGGAGCCGGCAAAACGACCCTGATGGATGTGATTGCTGGTCGGAAGACTGGTGGCCGCATTGTTGGCGACATTATTGTGAATGGCGAATTAAAGAATCCAGCTAATTTCAGTCGCATCACGGCATACTGTGAGCAGATGGACATTCATTCAGAAGCCGCTTCTATTTATGAAGCACTTGTATTCTCTGCGAACTTGCGACTTCCACCCTCTTTTACAAAAGAAGAGAGGATGAACTTAGTAAACGAAACTCTGGAATTGTTAGAACTAAATTTAATTTCTGATGCTATGGTTGGTAGCCTATCAGTTGAGCAGAAAAAGCGTGTTACCATCGGCGTCGAAGTGGTTTCTAATCCGAGTATTTTATTTCTTGACGAGCCTACAAGTGGCCTTGACGCACGTTCTGCTTTAATTGTCATGCGAGGGGTCCAGTCGATCGCGCGAACGGGTCGCACGGTCTTGTGTACGATCCATCAGCCGAGCATTTCGATTTTTGAACTCTTTGATGACTTGTTACTTTTACAACGTGGTGGTTACACTGCTTACTTTGGTGATTTGGGCGTCGACTCTGTAAAGATGCTTGAATACTTTGCTATGATACCCGGTACGGCTGAGATCCGGCCGCAGTATAATCCGGCTACGTACATGTTGGAAGTGATTGGTGCCGGAATTGGTCGTGACGTCAAGGATTACTCAGTCGAATACAAGAATAGTGCATTATACAGGTCAAATCGCGAGCGTACACTTCAGCTAGCCGAGGTTTCGGACGATTTCGTTCGTCATTCAACACTTAATTATCGACCCATAGCAACGGGATTTTGGAATCAATTGAAGGAACTCACAAAGAAGCAACAGCTTACGTATTATCGCAATCCACAATACAACTTTATGAGACTGTTTCTCTTTCCATTGTTTGCTGTCATCTTCGGCACGACATTTTACCAACTTTCAGCTGACAGCGTCAAGCGTATCAATTCCCACATTGGTCTCATCTACAATAGCATGGACTTTATCGGTGTGATTAATCTAATGACCGTGCTTGAGGTCACGTGTGCTGAGCGTGCCGTGTTTTATCGCGAACGAATGTCGAACTATTATGGACCTCTACCATATAGTCTTTCGCTTTGGTTTGCTGAGGTGCCGTACCTGGTTATCGTGAACATTCTGTTTGTGACTATCGAGTATTGGCTTGTGGGATGGAGCAACAATGCAGAAGACTTTTTTCTCTTCTTGTTTGTATTTTACCTTTATACTTCAGCCTGTACGTATGTGGGTCAGTGGATGTCTGCTTTAATGCCAAATGAAAAGGTGGCAAACGTGGCAGTGGGGGCTTTGTCATGCTTGTTTAATTTATTCTCGGGCTTTCTGTTGCCTCGAACTGCTATGAAAGCTGGTTATAAGTGGTTTCAGTATCTTATGCCATCGTATTATTCGCTTTCTGCGTTGGCTGGCATTCAATTTGGGACTAGTCAAGACATTATTGCTGTGACAGCAAACAACTCAACCAAGCAAATGACAATTGAAGATTACATTGCGAACATTTACGACTTCCGTCCCGATAGCAAATACAATTTCGTTGGAGCTTTAGTTGTAGTTTGGGTTGTTGTGCAGCTCGCCATTTATCTTACATTTAAATACGTGAGTCATTTGAAGAGGTAAAAGCTTTGAAGAAACATTCTAGAGTAATACAAATTCCTTTTGCCTGACAAGTTAAATGACTACGTTTGTCGATTGTCGTTGCGCTTGGCAATAAGAAATAGTCTAATAAGTTCAGTGATAAATGAGCGGTCTTGTTATATTGGACACAAAATTGCTCAAACGCATCAGAGCTGACAACATGCAGTAACTTAGGGAAGATTGATTCGTTCATTCAATACATTTGACAATAGTTTTATGGCATCGCTGATGCGATTCGTAAGTTGAAACGTTGTTAAATTGCACTTGTTATCCTTTTGTTTAGATACGGAAGTAAGACATCAGTGGAACGACTTAGAATTCTCATCCCCCATAACATGAACGTTATGCTTGATTGACCGAAGCTGTTGTTTTACGATGCTCTGCTACAAGTCTGGGACCATTTGACTGCTTTACTTGGTCTGCAATTTTCCTTGTGTTACATGCTCTGTCGGCTAACAAACTGCCTCTTGAAATATCAAATATTCCTTTTTCAGATAGCGCGGAGTGCTATGAAATTTTGAAGAATTTGTTTGAGACATCAATAGCAGTTTGATTTTAAAACTTAAAGCATCGTTCAAAGTGTAGACAACATAGCAATCATTTGAAATGAAAATTTGATGTCGTTAAGCCAAAGCAATACGTTCCAAGTGAATACTGAATACAAGAGCATTTTTAGCGACATACCGATAAAATTGAATCTGCTGGGGAACTGTTGGCCCCGATGTAATTCATTTAATTGCCTCCAGCAAGAGCTGCAATTTAATACAAACAGCACTTCTAGAAAATATTACAACTACAATAATCATGATCAGTATGTCTGCTGTCTGCTGTTTGCACCAAATCGTTGGCACAATGTATACGCATCTCGTATTCAAGAAATGTGATAGTACCATAGAGCGATTATTTGGCGCTACTTGGGCATCCTTACAGTGATTAATCGCACCGAAACGCTGTCTGACATTGACGGAATAACAACACGAACCATTACATAGTTGCAATTTCTCGATCTACTTCGGACCCCTAAAAATTATACTTTACGCAGAGCTATGATAAGAGATTGGGATATGGAAATTTTGCCTCTGTAAGGTGGTCAGGCACAGCAGAAACATTGACGGGAGACGCAACGGTCGGCAACACTTTGTTACACAGCTGCCGATGCATATGTCGAAATTGCTGACGTGCGCGCAAAGCATTAGCCTGCATTTGCTGCGTTGCATAGAGCTCTTGGATCTGAATGGCGTAGCGGGCATGGAGCTGCTGAAGCTTTGATGCAAGCTGTTTCTTGTGTCGCCTGTCAAGCTGCTTACGCTTCAGATAATTGTTTACGACACGACGACGCCAGTTGATAGCGCTGGTCGATCCTCTTTTGGCGTGCAGCACACAGCCACAGTCCGGACGCTTGTAGACACGATCCCGGTCATTCAAAAAATTCATTTTCAGTCGCTCATTTTGGTGTGCAAATTGCAACAATAAATTCGTCTGCTCAATCACATCACCGTGCGCATCACCGTTCTCGGCGTTAGACATCGTTACGTCCACACTGTTTGTTGTGAGCGGGACGTACTGATACATGGTGGCCGCCAAAAGTGAGCCTTGGTCGCTGACGAACGGCACAGAATGAATTTCAGGTTCGTACTGTTCTAACTGTTTCAATTGTTTGTCAAGCTCGACATCATCTTCCTCTGCAGGTTCTGCTTGCTTTGTCACAGAAGGCTCGACCTCAGCCACGTCTTCCGATTTCGGACTTTGACATTCATTGTCGCGATGCTCCTTCACCACACCGTCGTCAGTGTCAGTAAAGAGGGCCTGAGCTTTCATCCTATTCTCTTTCCGTTCGCTTTGCGTCTCGTCTCTGATCGCGCTAATTTGAGTCATAACTGTCGTGACACTTTCCTGCTTGATCGTAGTTGGCGGTGTCCACCGCAGTTCCTTCAATGCCAACAAATGAGTGTCAACTTGAGACAAAAGCGAATGAATGGGCGTCGTGGGGTTCGATGAGCCAGAAGAAGACGAAATTGACACGACGGGTGATGCTGTGCTCGTAGATAGCGTACGGCGCATCGGAGTCGTCAATGCTAGTACGTTATCATCAGCCGCGAGAGAGTTACTCACTTTCTTAGACACCAACGTTTTCAACTCGTCAACCTTTTCGGACCTTTTCACATACTTAATCTTCTCGTGACGACTACGCTTGCGTTCTGATTCCTGTTCTGTACAGGATGCATCCGATCGCTCGCGTTTACTTGTCATTCGATCTGTCTTTTTCTGGCGCACAGGCGTGTCTTTTATCGCACTCTTGTCCGTATCGTTTTTGCCGCCAGAACTATCTTCTCCGCCTAAATCTCGCATCACATTCTTCAAGCTGCTCGTAATTTGCGAATACTCTTTTCTGTGTTGGCTGCAGTGCAAGAAGGCGTTCAAGCTACGTACGACCAGCTGTTCTTGGTTGGCAGCTACAATCATCCAATTTTCCTTTTCTGACGTTGAAAGAGGCAGCACTGCAAGTAACCCGCTTGTATTCACTCGTGTAAGATCCGAGAATTGTGCTTGGAAATCAAGCGACGGGTCTACAAAGAACTGTTCGTAACCTTCAATGTATTCCAAAGGCGTCGCAAGACCCATTTCAGGCTTGGGCGAATGAAAAAAGACGCTACCGTCACTGCACATGCCGACAGTAAATGGGGCAGAATCTTGACCTGCTAATTTACTCACAGTCCTCATATGACGCTGTGCGCTCATGTCTTCGGCACCACGTCGACGGCTGCCGCGCGGGTTCCAAGCACGAAGCGATGAGGCATTTTTCGACGTAAGTGCTGCTTCACGCTGCGCACGCTGTTCTAGTGTAGATAATGGAAGATCTAGTTCCATACGAGTCGAAGCGTACAGATCCACAACCGCGAGCGACTCGCTGCCGCCGTACGCATAGTCGCCATAAACAGCAACAGTATCTAGCGTCTGTTTGATGTCCGTGTGTGACTTTTTCTTTATCGTAACCGAATTATTGGAAGCTTCATAATCTTCATCCAATTGCCAGATCCGTACATTTTGATGTTCAGATTTTGAAAGAAATTGATTAGCAATTGTTGGGTGAAACGCAATCAACTCAAGCGAAATGCCGTTTGTCTGCTTGTCAAAGACGCACTCCCATGTCCATTCGTTCGGTACCGTATGACGTTGATAAAATCTCCACATATGTACGTTCTTGATACCAAGACCACAAAGTAGCCGGTACTCAGTCATTGAACTACCTTTTAGATATACACTTTTGGCAGCTGCAAACCCTTTGAGCTTGGCATCCGAGTAGGTGTGGACAATGACTTTGGCAGTTGGTAACGCAAAGGAACCGCCTGTGTCGTCGTCGTCGTCACGCAACGTGGTCGACTGAAGGGCTTCCGAAGGCGATGGGAGTGTGATGCTATCAATTTCAAATGCCCGAATATCGGTCGATCCGCGGTATACTCCAGCAAAAATAAACTTGCCATCTTCCGGAATGATGACCGTGACCATGATTTGTGTATACATTCCCCGAGGCATGATTTGGTCCAATAAGACGCCGCGACGGAAAAGAAGAGAATCTTTGGTTAAAGGGTAGAGATACACCATTCCATTGTAAAAGCCGACGACCAAGAACGAGCCATCAGGGGCGACAGCCACTGAAGAAACGGTGGATGAGACAGAAAAGTGGTACTCGAGACCCACAGGTGCCATGCTTAAAGCGCTGCTGGCAGTAGATAGGGCAGGACTTTGAGACAGAGATTCACGTACTACTCTCATGTTGCCGATTGTGGTCGCATCGAACATCACTTCAGCCTCATCACTCGAGTATTCTTGATCATTTGAGCTACTAGAAGCAGATGAAGAACAACTGCTTTGTACAGGCTCCTTCTGACTTTTTGGCTTTTGTTTGACTGGAGTTGGAAATTCCAATTTTCGTGATGGATCATGGCTTGGAGGCGTCAAAGTCTGACCTGTATCTCTTCGGTTGGAAATGTCCTCAAGTACGCGTGTAGCCATAGATAACGTCTTCTTCGTCTTTTTGATCTTGTGTGAAAGTTTTTTCGTCGTTTTCTTGGTTCGAGAAGGTATCGCGAGACTGCGGGAATACTTCAAAGACTTGATCTTGTGGACTGGTTGGCCACTTAGTGTGAGCTTGTTATGCGGCTTCTGGGCGGGTTCTGGTGAAAGGAACGAGGGCGAATTCAGCACTTGGTTCTTATCATTCATGTTAAATGGCATGCTGCCGCCTTTAGCGGGCGTAGAACTCGCATTTTGAGCTGTAAGACCGCTCGTGCTAATAGACTTGTATGAGCTCATGTCTGACAAAATTATTCGGGCGATAGAGACTTGTAGAGAAAGATAATGCAGCGAATTTCGTCTGAGAAGTAGCGTGACAAGATCTTACAAGCTCGTAGTGAATGTGAGTGTGACAAGACGTACAAAAGCCAGGATCTTGTACGTGGTTAGAGCGTATTGTAGAATGAAAACGCGCCCTGTGCGCGTTTTAGGCGCCAAACTCTGTTCAGTGTGGTTTACATAAGCCTCAGATTTTAATACTATAATCTGCTACACGTTTTGTCCAATGATATATTGAATACTCTGTGACTGGTGTCCAAAATATCAAAGCGTGGCTATGGCTGAAGGTCGATCGCCTGTAATGGAGCCCGGAGCCGATCTCAAACATCTTGGTGCGTACATCTCGTTTCCTTTAGCCCACCTTTCTTATATTGATATCATATTTACCGAACAGAATTAATGCTAGACGATAAAAATCATAAAAAGCGCAACAAGAAACAAGACATGCCCTACGAGTAATGTAGCATATTACTTTTCTCATCAAATAATGATATCATATTAATCAACAGTACTTTACTAAGAGGAAAACTTGAAGGCTGGTCTTCTGTTGACGATTCCATGGAAAAGCTCAGTCTCGACTCTGTGAACGATAAAAAGACACTTTTAAAGGCTGAACGAAAGAAGCTTGCAGCTGAGGCTTTTGCTAAAGCTGGAGGCGTGCCAAAGCGAGAAAAACGCACTAAAGCTGAGCGTCGAGCACAACAAGAGGCAAGTCGACAACAGAAAGAAGTTAATAATTCTAAAGTGAAGAAAGCAGAGACTGCTGGAGTACCAAACGCTACCCCAGTGAACGTACGACTGCAATATGATGATGCCAAAAAGATTGCAAGACGCTCGAAAGCCGCTGTTGTCGTGCGTACACAGGCCCAGAAACAGGTGGAAATGTTTGCACACTTGCCTCAGTACGAACGCGAGAGTTCCTTATCTCTAAACGTTGGCTTCTCTACCAAGGAAGATATTCACGCAGCTGTGCTAGCTCTTGGTCTTAAGTACGCAGAAGGACGGATCTCTGGCAGCAATGCGCGGTGTATTGCAATGATCACAGCGTTTGACCAAGTTATTGATGATTATGTGACGCCACCGGAGTCACAGCTTCGACGAGATCTCGATAAGCGTTTGCGGCCGTTAATTCAGTATCTTATTGATTGCAGACCACTCAATATTGGTATGGGCAACGCAATTCGTCGACTGCGTCGAGTTATTGGCTCGACGCCACCTGAGCTTAGTGAAGAAGAAGCCAAACGGCGAATTCGCGACGAAATGGACGACTACGTACAGAGTCGCATATTGCTGGCTTCGCGTGCGGTCGTGAAGATTGCACAGTCGAAACTTAATCCAGGAGACGTCATTTTGACGTACGCGCGAGCAAATGTCGTTGAAGAGTTACTGCTTGAGACGGCCAAGACAGCGCCAGAAACAGCTGCAACCCTGCGCGTGATCGTTGTGGATTCCCGACCGCATTATGAAGGTCGAAAACTCGTCGGCTCCCTCGCCGGCGCAGGTCTTCAGTGTTCTTATTTGCAGATCAATGCGCTGTCATACATTATGCGCGAGGTCACCAAAGTGTTTCTCGGCGCCTCGGCTTTTATGAGCAACGGAGTAGCTGTGGCTCGCGCGGGTACGGCTTTGGTGGCTATGACGGCTCATGAAGCCAATGTCCCCGTTCTATTTTGTTGCGAAACGTACAAATTCTCGGATCGTGTACAATTAGACGCAATCACGCACAATGAGCTAGGTGATCCGGACGATCTCGTATCTTCTTATTGCATTGACAAGCGACGTCGTACTGGCCGCAATGTGACATCCAGCGGTCACATTTTGTCCGACTGGCGTGATCTTGTTGACCTCAAACTTCTTAACCTCGTGTACGACGTGACTCCGATCGACTACGTGTCGATGGTCATCACAGAAGTGGGCATGATTCCACCTACGTCTATCCCTGCTATAATGCGTGAATACTCTCGTGATGGCGTCGTTGAAGGAGTGCTTTAGGTACGACGTTGAACAAACAATAGCAACCATAAATTAGTGGTTTTCGATGTTATTAAGAGTGCTGTGCTACGAACCTACTGTGCTTGAGTATGAGGTTGTTGCTCACATTACTTCGTCAGCTTTTCCGTTTTCTTTTCATTCTTTTGAAGCTGAATGACTCATTGCCCCATCAGCTTCTTCATCACTAAAATCCAAAAGCCGTGTACATACATCCATAAGCTGAGGCTGTTGTAGCTCCCGGAACCGCAAACTTAGCAGATCAATTGCAGTCAGTATGTTCAAAGGATTTTGCTCGAATGCACTGGAAAGAACGGCCATTTTCGGATACCGCTGGCTGAAGTGCGTCAGCACCAAGTTACGTACATTCGCTTGACGGCCAACTTGAATGGCTTCTTGTATTGTACAATGTGCCTTGTCCTTTGCTTCTTTGACCATTTCATCCTCAAAAGTGGCCTCGTGAACGAGCAGAAACGCCCCTTTTGCCTTTTCAGCGAGCTTTTCGCTTGGTCGGCAGTCACCGGAAAATGCAAGCTTGGCACCATCATTGAACGTCACAACCACTGCGTATGACTGTCGCGAGTGTTTGACCGGCACACACTCAAATTGTGTGATATTCAGCATCTCTCGGAGCCATGCACGCACGCGCGCTGATTCCATGTAAATCTTGTCGTCTTGGAAGCGAGAATCGCTCTCATCAAAGCTATGATTTTCTGCAAAAGTGTACAAGCCAGATACTGTCGGGTCTAGTGCCGAGTACTCGTCCAACCAGTACCGTAGCGATGTCGGCCCGATCACAAGCAGTGGCTCAACGGAAGACGCTCGACAACTCAGTAGCCGAAGCAAGCCAAGATGATGGTCTGCATGATTGTGGGAGATCCAGACACACTTTAAACGGTCAATCAGTTCCTGAAATCGTTTCTTGTCTCCTTCTGCGTATCGATATAGTTGCCCTGTACTGCCTTCTCCGCAGTCAAGCATCAGTCCTGCCCATTGATCGTTCCCTTTCACTTCAGTTGGCAACTCAAGGTACATGCCAGTTACATTGCGATATTTGGACGGAATCGCGCAGCCAGTACCCAGAAATGTAATCCGACCGTTGAGAACGTCATCTGTACCTAACGTATTCGTGACGGTCTCAACAAGAGATGGAACAGACTGACGAATGGTATTGAAGTCCAGACGCTGCCAGCAATTAGATATGTCAAAACCTCGGCGGGCCTGAGGAGCAAGAATAAAACTTAGCATACTCTCGCCTAGCACCAGATTTGACACTGCCGACTCCGACTCATTACTACTGATTTCAGTAAAATTCAATGACTTCGCATCCGGCACAGGACGCGAAAAGGGCTCAGCAGCATCTCGCAGTTCTTGTGTCTCATTGGACGGGAATGCATGAGGAAACACCGCATGCAACTGAGCTTGCAGCTTCGCTGACGCTCGATACACCGTCTTTTGCGCACATGCTTCATGTCCAAGCAAAACATGACGTGCTTGTGCACCAAACGACCGCGACCACGCAGCGTATTTCGGCTGTTTCAGTACATCTGTTCTTCCAAGATGAAATACCACTTGCACCTGGACTTGTGCCGTCTTCCCATTAATTTCTCGATATCGATCAAACTCTATACTGTTCACAAGTGCGTCCACATGAGCTGTCGTAGGGCACGACACCACCACACAAGCTACAGCAGGCATCGAAGGCAACACACAGTCACTTGACTTGACAACGTTGCCATTATCCAGTGTCACATCTTTTCCTTGGTGTAATTGTCCAAATAATTTGCCCTTTGGGACACCCAATGCGATGGCTTTTTCCACTAGGAACTTGCCTCTCTGCCTCCTTGTTTCCACCACGTAGCTTACACTCACATGGCTTTGTTCTTCGCTATCAGGTAAAAATTGATTGTTATCAAGCTTCCTTTTCGCTCCAAGTCGTGATTTCAGTACGGCCACTGCGTACACAACCACTTCGTCGTCTTCGTAGTAGCTTTTGATCTCTTTTTTAGTACCTGATAGAAGCACCTCAGACGCTTTCAATGCAAAATCAGGACGGTGCAAGAAATGACGCGTCGCTTTCAGGTACCTATCAGTTCTAGGCGGTCCATAGACGTGAAGACCCGGTTTTCCTGTGTCGGAAATTGTCAATACCATGCCAGGTAATCCACCGACAGTATAAGGCCGAAGCTCCGTCAGAAATACGTGCTGTAGCTTAGCTAGTCGCACGTGGTGTTCCATACACAGTCGCTGGGTGCCATCGCTGACGTTAAATAGAAAACTGCGCAGCTTACAGAGAGAGATTAGAGAAGCAGCATTGCACAGAGCTCAACAAGAATATGGAGGAACGAACCGGCGTGCCTCCGTAGAGAGAAGAAGACTAGGAGCAGTCTCAACGGAGTCCACACTTAGCACCTGCATCTGCACGACCATATTTGACAGATGGCGGATCCACTGGTGTCCGCTGACGGCTACGTTGTTTACCAATGGATATTTATGCAATTTAGCATAAGTGAAAAATGTAATTATGTTAAGTCATGTTACCAAGCACAAGTTTTGGTATATCCGATGGCTGTCCATAATAATCACACTATATTCACTTGCAGGGTCTATGACTATTCTCGGGCCAAACATTTTAATGCCGAGAACTGACGTCAATTGCAAATAAAATTTTAATGGCCTTCTGAACCGAACAAACGAGCTTTAAGATATTTTTGTTGTTGTGATTGTTTCTTAGCAATTAACTGTAGAGAAAAAATGAGCAGGTTCCACTTACCGAATGTTGGGAACTAGAAGCCACTTGTTAAAATAATTGCGGATCATGCAGTTCAAGGGTTCCAAATACTTCACGAACCTATGATTGATAAGCGTTTGAGTCACTGAAAGGACAATGTCGATAGTAGAGCTTCTACTGAAACTGCTACCTAAAAAACATTAGTGTAATGCTATGCAAGAGCTATGGCCTACGGTGGCGTCGAGAATATCAAAGTATTTATACAAAATCTTAGTTTAGGCCTGCTGGAAATACAGTAAAGTACACTGTGACATGCATGTCAACAAAAGTTTTTAAAAATTTAAACTATGATGTGTACATGTCGCATATTCAGATTACCTAATGAAATGCACGCAAGTGAGACATGATATATTCATATAAAAGCCACAAATGTCTCATGATAATCATAGCTCAATGGCTAAATAAAACTTGTTAAGTTATTGCCGATACGTCACATGATAATGGTGGAGTTGAGTCGTCGTTTAGAATCTCACTCTACCCAAAATTACATTCTCATTGGAAAAGACACTTTCTCCACTCAGTCGTTACGAATATTGAGCTAAATGAAGCGTCCATTCCATTGCAAGTCTTTTCTCACCTCTTGAATGTCTTGGTAAGAGCTTTTCGCTTTGCCAATCTACACAACAAAGCTGTCTTTTCTTAACGCATTTTCGAGTAAAGCGTCTCGGGTGTCACGATCAGCAACAGTGGCTTGCTGTCATCCAAAAGATCTGGACCACGTGGACGTGCTTTCCATGGATAGCCAGACGCAGGCTTCCTCGATTCCAATGGCTGGAATGGAGCCTCGTATCGTCTTTTTGAATGATAGTGACGCGAATCAGCAGCTTATTATATCGAAGAAATATGCTCGCAATGTTATGGTCACATCAAAATACACGACAGTCAATTTCATTCCCAAGACTATATTCGAATTCTTTCGTGTCGTGGCCAATGTCTACTTTCTTCTAATTGCCGTCTTACAGGTGCGTTTGTGCTACATTTGAAGATGCTGCTAGAATGCTAACATTCTGACGAGTGTAGTTGGCGACACCGTGGTCACCAACTAATCGGTTAACGACTGCAGGTCCTCTTTTCTTTGTCCTTATTGTCACAATGATTAAACAAGGACGCGAGGATTATAAGCGTCATCAAGCAGATATCAAACAGAACTGTCGCTTGTGTCGAGTAAACCAGTTGTTTGGTGCGTGTGTCGCGTTGTACGTCGTACGCTGACAAGTTCTGTCTATTTTAGATCATTAATACGAACGGAATGACGGAACAGATTTCATGGCAAGATTTGCAAGTTGGGCAACTTGTCTGTATGGAAAACCACGAGGAGTTACCAGCCGATGTCGTGATTCTAGCAACTTCCGAAGAGGAAGGAAGATGCTTCATTGAAACGTCAAATCTTGACGGTGAAACGAATCTTAAGCGTCGAATTGCAGTAAAGCGTACAGCCCAACTCGTTGGCTGGCGGGAACTAAACGGAGCACCGATTGCGCAAGAATCTGTGTGTTCTTCAGCTATACGTCAATTACATGGTCGTATCGAACATGAACAGCCAAATAATCAACTTTACACGTTCACCGGGCGATTACAGCTTAACGAAAATGATCGAGGGGAGAGTGCAATATCGTTAGGTCCCGAAAATCTGCTACTACGTGGCTGTAGCTTGCGAAGTTGTGCTTTTGTCGTCGGATTAGTCATTTTTACAGGCAGTGAGACGAAATTGCTACAGAATTCACGCGTTGCACCGTCAAAGCAGAGTAAAGTGTATCAGACTGCAAATCGCTGCATGTTGTTGATTTTTACGACCATGTTTGGTCTCTGCTTAGCGAGTGCCTTTGCTGCAGTTTTATGGAGCCAGAAAAATGCAAATCGCGTGTGGTACCTGCCTTTTCTTAAAGAAGCAGACAAAGTGGATGATGGCATTGTCAATTTCTTTACTTTTTTGATTCTCTACAACAATCTTGTCCCGATCTCGTTGTATGTCTCGCTCGATATAATTAAAGTTTTGCAAGCGAATCGAATTACTAGTGATGCTGCTATGATGTGCGATAATGTTCATGCCGTAGCACGGACGTCGGAACTGAATGAAGAATTAGGTCAAGTGGAGTATATTTTTAGTGACAAGACAGGAACTTTGACGCGCAATGTCATGGAATTTCGAAAGTGTTCGATTGGAGGAATTTCGTACGGTTTTGGTACCACGGAAATTGGTCGAGCTGTAGCCGCTTTAGCAAGTACAACTACTATCACTGAACAATCGAGTGGAAAACAGCGAATTGTTGACTCAGTGGATAGTATTTGTGAAAATACAGCAAATTTAACGGATGCTCTTGTTGAAGGGTGTGATCCGAAAGAAGCTCAGGTACACTATGATCCTAGTATACACTTTGATGATCCAGAATTGCTACGTGCGCTTTACGCTGGGGGCAAGCAGGGCAAACTTATTCATGAATTTCTAACGTTACTGTCTATTTGCCACACGGTTATCCCTGAGATAGATGCCAAGACGGGGTCAATTGTGTACCGTGCTTCATCTCCGGACGAAGAAGCTTTAGTGAAAGCAGCCAAATGCTTGGGATACAACTTTGTGGCTCCAGCTCCACTTATTAAGGTAGAGATCTCTTGCAAAGCATCACTTGTTCCGTCTCATGTATCTATTGAGATGTTGGAACGTGTGATGGACTCGTATACAATCGTGAACATTAATGAGTTTAATTCGACACGAAAGCGAATGTCTATCGTAACACTTAATGTAGAAACTGGAGAGTATATTGTGTATTGCAAAGGTGCGGATAATATGATGCTTGAACGTTGTGCACCGCTGAAAAATGATGCCGATGTGGCTGCTAATGCGAAGATAGTGGAACATCTTAAGCTTTATGCTCGAGAAGGACTGCGAACTCTTGTTCTCGGTCGTCGGGTGCTTACTGAAGACCAGTATAGAACGTATAACGACGCATACATTGCTGCATCAACTTCTCTTGTCGATAGAGAAGAGAAGCTTGATGCGTGTGCTGAACTAGTAGAGTCAAGAATGCAACTTCTTGGTGTGACTGCAATCGAAGATAAGCTTCAGGAGGGCGTACCATCCGCAATTTATAATCTTGGGCAGGCTGGAATTAAAATTTGGGTCTTGACCGGCGATCGTGAAGAGACTGCAATTAATATTGGTCATGCGTGTCGACTTATAAACGATCAGATGCAGCTGCTTTACGTAAATGCTGAGCGTGTCGAGGCCTTATGTGCTCAATTAGACGCTTTACACGAAACACTCGAGATCAAGAGACTTCTTCGAAGTAATTCGGTGGCTGACAACCTCGCCATGGTATGTGATGGTAAAGCTCTCGTCCATATCTTTCCATCGCGCGATGCACGAGCCAAAATGTCCGTTGATGCTTTGGAACGCGTGAGACTATTGACAAATAAACTTTTGGATGTTGCTCAAGTATGCAAAGCACTCATTGCTTGTCGAGTAAGTCCGTCGCAAAAAGCAGAAATTGTTCAACTCGTTCGTTCAGGTAGAAAGAATAAGCAAAAAGGCTCTCAAGCAATCACTTTAGCAATTGGAGACGGTGCGAACGACGTGAGTATGATTCAAACTGCTCACGTTGGTGTGGGGATATCTGGAAACGAAGGAGTTCAAGCAGTGAATGCTAGTGACTATGCGATTGCTCAATTTCGCTTCTTAACACGTCTCGTGCTACTGCACGGTCGATGTAATTACAAGCGCATTTGTATGGTCATTCGGTACTCATTTTATAAGAACATTGCGCTAGTTATCTGTCTTTTTACATTTAACTTTTACAATGGTCAATCCGGAACGCCATTGTTTGAAAGTTTTGTGATGGCTGGTTGGAACTTTTTTCTTGCGCTACCTATTATCGTTATCGGCATTTACGATCAAGACATTTCTGAAGAGATCATTTTGAAATATCCTCAACTTTATCGTTATGGTCAATACGATAGCGATTTAAACATGCACAAATTTTCAACAACAATTATAAACGCGATTGGACACGCCCTTGTCTGCTTCTTCGTTTGCTACGGCTGTATGCAGTACACGAATTATGGCTTGTACGTAATTGGCACGCTGTTCTATGCGGCTTTACTTGGAACTATGAAGTTAAAAGTGACAATATTGACACAGGTTTGGAACAAATATCATTTTGCAGTCATGACTTTCAGCATTTGGCTCTTTATCTTCTTTTTACTGGTATATCCACACATGACGTTCATGGGCTATGACATGTATGGCGTCCCCGTGTACATGATTCAATTGCAGCGGTTTTGGACGTTGCTGTTGCTATGTCCTGTAGCAGCGGTGATGTTCGATTTTATTCTTCTAGCCGCACAGCAGCAATTTCGACCGCGTGCAGAGGATATTCTGCGCGAACGTTCTCGTACTGCCAAGTCAAAGCGCGTTAGTGACTTTGTAGAGCCCATTCCACAAATTGAATCACCTTCTACCGACAATATTTTTATGGTCGAACATTCTACGAATGAGAATGCCCGATGTGATGCTACGGAGAATAAACTTGTGATGGCAAAGCCGTCGTTTCCGAATCGACGAGCGAGCATCCCGTCGACGTATGACTCATTAAAGGGCAGTTTACCAGAGCTACAGTCGCGTACGTCTTTGATATAGTTTTTGTGTCTTATTTATTATTTACCTCGGCATTTGTCTGAATACAGTGAGTAGCTTTGCCTTCAATGGACTGGACCAGACAATGGGTGCACAAGCATCAAGAGGTCCTTCGGCTCAAGAGACTGTGACAATGCGAGTTTTGAGCTTTCAAATGCAGCGTCGTCCCAATCAAACGGATGCTATAAATTCCTTTGTAGCGCCTGAATAATCGCATCAGAAGACCCAACAAGTTCGAAAATGTCTTAGTAAAAAATTGTTCTCCACCTCTTTTAAATATGTCTGCGCTTGTACATCAGCGGGCTGCAGATATCAAACGTGAATCACGCATTTCTGCATTCAACATGACATGAGAAATACTTTCAATATAAAGTGCGTGATATAGGCACACTGCATACTCGCACGTTGATATGATTGATTTCACGTTAGCGTTTTTAAGGTAAAGAAGCTCAATCAACACTGATATTACGATAAACGAAAGCTTAAAAAACGTTATTCGTCTTTGTTGAATGAATACTGTAGTGTGATTGATAGCTTACACTTCATAAAAGACTTTTGGCAAAGTTCCCAAGAAAGTCAAGCTCAAGCGAATTGAGTACGCAGGGTGTGATAGCAACTAGGAATACGTCATCAAAATATAACTTTGATTTAAATAGCTTCCAGCGCTATAATCAGAAGGTAGAATTCGCATGCTTGTACCTCAATAAGAAATCGAATTGATTTATTTCGACTAACTCCTATAGCTAACAACCTGGTAAAGTAACAAGGTAGCAAAGGCTGAGTAGAGATAGACAGCAAGATTGCTTCTGGCAGTTTATAAATCTGGATGCTTATCAATATATACGAGTTCGCCATATCAAGCGCTGTGCATGGATGCAGGTGACGAAGAATGGCACTTCACGAATGTGTGTGTCCAAGAATTTTTTTGCACATTGGAGTCATAATCCTGAAACCTGACAGAATGAAGCAACGCATTAGGCTGATCAATAACAACTTGGTCAGCCTAACTAACATCTGGGCTAAAACTAAATGGCCTCAGTGCAGCTACGAATTGGTGAGTGCTGAGAGAGATGCAAGTGCTCACACGATGAAGGTCTTTACTTTGCTTCCCCTTAGAATCGATTATCCTTAAGGAACAGCTTGCAATTAGTTAAGTGACAACAATATTCGTCACGTTTGAATGACACCTGATTCAAGAACACCACATTCCTCAATCTCTTAGAATTCTAATTTTTCGCATCCCTGATCTCGCTAGTTAAACCAGAGATTACACCCACTGTCGATGACGACCTATGCCTATCTCTAAGTCCTTCGTTGCACTCCATCGCAAGACCTGGCATTATTATCGATCAAATTACGATAAACTTCCCACTGATGTACCCAGCCGCCACCGACTAATCTTAAAAATCTTTTTGCTGGCATACGTCATCTTCAGCAACTTCCGAGCTGATCTTCGTCTGCAAAACTAGTGTACGCTTTGTGCTACAAGTCTAAAATCTGATCGTCAAAATCTCAAAAAATCCAACTTTTGGTGTTTTGAAAGCATATCGCCACCTTTTGATCGCAGTCAATTGCAGCGACATTTGAATCTTATCAATTTCACTGCAAGATGATTTTGTTTACCATACATAATCTATGACATGGTGCCGTAATACGGCAGTATTTCCATTAGTCATTGCGCTGTTATGGCATCGCCCATATGTATCAGCACAAGTTGTTGGATCCGGAAAAATTAGACCACGGCCTCATTAAACCTAAAATACATCCTAACGCACCAAAGTATTCATAGCAGAACGATAGACACTTGCGAAGTTAGTACTATTCTAAAACCACCACTAGCTAAGTTTCGTCTTCTAACCCAAGACTCTTTCCAAACGCATATTGAAAACGTCGTCGCATCATCTCAGATCTGATTGCTTGCGCTTTATATAGTGTCTGCTTTGCAGCCATTTGATCCATTGTACCAGGACGCAGTACAATTTTCCGGTTTGCATTGACAATGACCGTCACGTCTTGAAACTCAGCGTCTTCCTCAACCAATTTTTTCAAGTTCAGTTTGTTCTCGTCTTGCCGAATCTTAACACAGTTTCCAGCTTTAGTGTGCGGTTTTATGTGGGATAACGCACTGTAATCTTCTTCCTCGGAAGAAAAATAGCATTGGGTCTGGACTTTATCCATGCGAAGGATTGGCGACGCTGCTGTGATAGCTCGTCCCTCGTATCCTTCAGATCGTTTAATCATTCGTGAAAACTGTCTTGCCTCCTCGGTCTCTTCTGCTTTCCTCTCTCGACTATTATCTTTAGAGGCCAAAGCGGTAACTTTCGCATACGGTGAGCTTAAAACTGTCCGATCCTCGATTTTAACCCCCAGAGTATATCGATAAGGTTGAATTTTATCAAGTAGCAACGATTGGCTTGTCAGGTCCGATAGCACATTGGACCGGAGTAGACTGGAAGTATCTTTTCGAGCTTCTGTTCGAACAAGATCTTTACCGACCACGAGTGCATAATCCTTTCGTGAACCTAGTATCACTTTGGCAGGTGCTGATGCCCCAGTGACTAGAATTTTATTTAAAGTCGCATTCTCCAAAATCTGTACTTGATCGTCGCCTTGTTGGTGACAAGGACAAGAATGAATACAAGTATGATTATGATCATCTTGATGGCAAGATTCTACTACCCACGGAGAAATTGTGCCGCTGTCATCGTCTGGAGACTGTTTACGTAGACGTTTGGCACTTTGTTCGTTCTTGTCATATCTTTTCTGGATCCTCTTGCTAAGAGGGTAAAATCGTCCTCTCACCTTGCCAGCAAAACCAAACTTAAGTAATTTCTTTTCGTCTCGTACTTGACTTTCAATCATGTTATAGCGCTGACTACACTCAATGGAATCATCGTTGATGACAGTGCAAAGTTGACATTCACTGCTTCTGCTACTGTCGATTTTTCTAGAGCAGCAATCACAAGCACCATATAAAAAAGGATCGCGCAATTCCTTTGAGAATGCGCATTGATTTTGAGAGTCCGGCAGGTCCAAATGTACCAAGTTGTCTTTGAGTTTGATTACCGATCTATTGCAGTTTAAACTTGTAATGTTTAAGGCTTGAGGGTTGAACTCGTGCTCGTGTGATAAGTGGGGCAGCGACTGAGACACAAGATTCGCCCGGATATTCTTTCTGACCACTTTATCGTGTCCAGATTGCGAATTTTTTGTACCTTCAGGCACCTTGAATGAAGTCTTTGGTAGTCGAGTCTGTTGCTTACTTTTTTGCTTCGCCAAAGGTGCATCAGCATTAATTTTGTCGAGCTTTACGCAGTTCACTGACTGAAGTTTTGATGGAGAAGACAACGAAGTTCTGCGTCCACTATTTATTGTCGCCATATTGTAATATTCGTCTGGCAATAGTGTGTCTCCATTTACAATTTCAATCTGATGTGCTGAGCTTGCTAAAGCATCTTGGAGTCCTTTTATATTATTGTAGCCGGCATCAATATCGAGATCTACACGTGATTTCTGCCAAATCGTTGCCATCTCCAACTCCATTTTGGGATGAATTAAAGGCTGTGATGGCGTTGTCACTGTGTTATCAAGGACCTCGCCTGTATAGTCATCAAAACATTCGTTCTCACGTATTTTTATTCTCAAAGCTTGTGAATTTGCAGGGAACATGAAAGACTTTGTATTTGATCCACGCTCTTCAACACTTGACTTCCAAATGTTGCCTTCAAAGTCCTCCAAATCAGGTAATTTCTCAAGTACATTACGCTGCTCACATCTAATTTCCAGATTGTCAGTGTTCTTCGCTGGGTACTTTCTTTTAATGACTCCATGTATCGAATCTTTAGATGCGATTTTTACCGATGCAGCATCTTCTTTCATGTCGTTTAAACAATAAGACTGACTTTCGTCTTCGACTCTCGATAAGCGATCCATCTTTATTAAAGTTGAAAAATCGTGATAACTATCCGTAGCAGAAATCTGTTTCTGCGAACGCAACAATCTTTTCCCTATATTCTTTTCATGTCGTACATTCGATTGCATGGTGCTCACTCCTAGCACAAGGTTTCGAATAAAAGTCACGTAATCTTCCGCATTCATTGTTTCACACCAGATATCTGCTAATTCAAATATACTGTCAAAAAAGGAGGAGAAGCTCATTACTAACTCGCCGTTACGATCTCGATTCCAATCTTCTCGAATTATTTTTTCCATATTCCGAAGGCGTTGCTTACTTGCATGGGGTTCCAACGTTCGTCCAATTTTTCGAAATAGAGAAGTGTATCCGCGCTGATCAATACAACCCAATTCGTCTCGAGGAAGGTCGACAGACCAGAGTTTATTAATGGCATTGACCACGTCTGGATGGTTGCGCAGATTAAATCGTAGTGTGAGAGCCTCAGGTGTGTAGAAAAACCGCTTTCCAGCCTCAAGATTGATATTGGCTTGCTTATAAAAGTCTTTGGATGCAAAAGGGGATCGTTTCTTTCGATCAGTAAGCAAGTCTCGAGCTTTTAGCAATGCTTGTTCTTGTAAGTGCTGGTATTTGTGTCTCTTTAGTGTTTGTAATCGAGCTGTTTGAATCGTAAAGTTCAGCTCCAGCCAGAGAACACTCGGAGATTTGTATTTCCAATTCTTTTGACGCTCATGAAGAAGTTCAGATGGGGCGACCACGACTTTCACTGCAGACTTGTTTTGGTTCTTTTTGTCCATCTGATCGAAATACAGCCGATAAGAAATATTTAAGCTGCTTGAAAATTTTCAGAGTTTTCTAATGCTAACTGCTGCCTTTGAAAGAATTTTTTATAGCTGAAGTATAGAATTGCGATGCTTCCAGCTAAGAGATACACGAGATTGTGTTCGCTCGCTTTCACTAACACTTTTGCCCAAATTTATTGTGAAATACCATGAAAAGACATCACATAGTATTTAATTATAGCAGATTCTCATTCTACCTTAAGCTGTAGCTCTCATCTTAGCACTACTGGACAAACGAAAAAGCGCTTGGTCTACCACTATCCAGCGTTACATTCAATTTATGAACTGAAGATTGGCAAGCTACTCCAATAGGAACTTCATCAATCAATGGCTTCGAGACACCGTTTTGCATAATGTTGTCACCCTCATAGTTCAATTTCGATTCACTGGTACGGCGTCTCCACGAAGCCTGAACAGCTTGCGATACCTTCGGACTAAGAACAAGAGACGATTTTGAGCTCTGGATATTGTCTGTAGACACAACGAGCTCGGGTTTAAATATCTTATCCACTGCCAGCTTGCCCGGAGACATGCGAGGTTTCGAAGGTTGAGAAGCTGCGACTGGAGCGCGAATCTTGTTCTGCCCACCAACAATTTGGACATGACGAACGTGCGGCTTTACTGGGCTACTTTTCGGTATAAGCGCCGAGTTTGTGCCGTTGGAGCGAATGAGTGAAAGCAGTTTTCGTGCACCCTCACGTACCACCTGATTTTGTGAGCTGGTTCGAAGGCTATCAAGATGGCTCAAAAGCTTCGAGTTTGCTTCGAAAACAGGAATATATCGTCCCGCGAACGGTTTGATCTCCACGAGTATTTGCATCAGTAAAATTGCCTTTGCGCGCACCTGCCACGGCTGACTAACTTGAATGTCTTGTAATCGAGCAGCAAACGCAGCAGCCATGCTAACGGCGTCAACGCGAGGAATCTGAGCAAGCAAACGCTGGACGCTTTCTGCACTTGGAATACCATTTATTCCACCTGGAGGCGTACAAAGTACGACCAATTTCATTTCGTAGTCGCAACCTTTTGTTCCATCTCGATCACAAGCAAAGCTACTAGAAACAAGCACAAGGAAGCACGTTATCGATGGGAGAATATAAAGATTTACTTTCACAAATGACAAACCCACTTTTCGAGCTCAGCATCGGGTGTCAAACCCACCCAAGACTTTCGCATTGCATTGGAAAAAGTTGGTAGTGTGTGGCAATCACTTTGGCCATCACGAGCATTTTGCTCCCCGTCGTTGTCAAGAAGCGCAAAGCGTTTGTCTGGCGAAAAATCTTGGTAGTCCCAGTCCTCACTAACGTTAAGTAAATTAGTTTCCGGAGAAGTGAAATGACCAGCAGAATATAGCGTACATTGCCTGCTCGACCTGATGCAAGTACTTGTCTTTGAGTTCATCTAAAAAGTGCATGGCTTCTTCCATTTCTAAATGCTCGTCTGTAAGCCGAATTATTCCAAAATGAAAGCTCGACATCTTCAAACGAAGGAGCAAGCATTTTTTCAATACCGACTAGTGTGTATCGCCCATCGTGCTCCTATCTCTATTTTATTTGCCTCCCTCTAGACCTTGTCGATGTACTAATCTCAACATTGCAACGGCCTCTAACACTTATAGATCACCCTGCTAACCCGATATTCCGTCACAGAGATCAAATTCAATGTTTGCATTCAAACTACCTAAGATAACAGTCAAAGCGCTCACATCCACTATAGGTGTACATTTCAGCTCTTATAACCATATCATTTTATAGCTACGCAATAGACATCAAGCAGCAGACTTGGCTATCTCCTCGCATCGCGCAGCTTCTTTCGTCTGTTCGCCTTAACTCTAAACATCGAGCTTAAGGTAGTCATTGTCAAAGTGGTGAAGACGGACGTAGCCATCTTCAGCACCAGACGCATAACTTTTACCATTAGGGTGAAAAGCTATCGTGTTAATGGGTCCAAAGTGGCCTTTGACACGGCCAAATTCCTCTTGAAAGACCATATGAAAAAAACGAGCTTCAAATTTGCCCACTCGACCAGATGTCGTTGTGACACTCATGGCCTCTTGACCACCGCCCAATACAACATGCTCTTTAATTGGTGAAATAGCAGCAGAATTTACTGGACGATCTGTTTCGTACACCTTCAATACCTTCAGTGTCTCAACATCGAGAAGTTTGGCCGTATTGTCCTTGGATGACGTGATTGCAAGTGTCTTGCTCTTGTTAAATGCTACGTTCGTTATTTCACCGGTATGGATTTTGTGACTTTCTAGTAACTCACCCGTTTTAGGGTCAAAAAGTTTAATAAAGCCGTCTCCACCTGTCGTCATAATGGCCTTGTTCAGTGGCATCCAATACGCTCCAGTGATCCGTCCCTCATGTCCATGTTTCGTGATAGTCAAAATGGGATCAGCACTCTGAAAAGTCAAATCCTTGGCTAGCGCATAGACAAATACTGCCGCTGGCCGATCGGAAAATTTGTCGGCCACCGAGACAAAAAACTTGTCACCAGTACTAAAGTTGACACTACGCGCGGGACCAGTATGCGGAAACGAAAAGAGCTCTTTGCCCGTCTGGACATCCCATAATTTCACGGTCGCATCAGCAGCAGCTGTGAGAAGATGATCAGAGTGATGGCTCACGTCGCAAGCCCATACAGCGCCCGAATGACCCACATACGTGCCAATACGTTCACCAGTGTCACTATACCAAAGGTTTGGTGTATGATCTTTAGCGCATGAAAACAGAAGATCACCCTCGCGATTATATTTGATCATAGTCAAGGATCGCGAGTGGCCTTTAAGTAGGATCGGACGCATATTAGAGAGAAGAAGCGATTTGGTTTTGCTAATGAAAAGACCAACTGACCACCAATGACACAAAAACCTGTAATTTTTCATTACTACAAATTGTAGAGATTTGTGATTTGCATCTTATAATGAGGACTAAATCAATGTTTGTCGTATGGCGGCGGTTAAAAGTGCACAATGCGCGACGATTCTCGAGTGCGAGCGCCTCAGTTGTTCATTCACTCTCGTATTTATCACATCAAAGTCGCGTACATTTTCAAGCAAGTGATAGTTCGAGGACAAACGTGGAGATTGTGCCAGTTTTAAGCGCTGACGAATTTGCTTTACGTGTTCTGGAGACGGACAAATCAATTGACATTCAAAATTTATTTGATATTGAGAAAGAAAGTGCCAGTCATTCAATTGATGTCACAAGAGTTTGTATTACTAAAAAATACAATTTCGATGCGAATGTGCAGCTGCTTGTGCCTCACACAGTGGCTCTGAATCTTGCAGTGGCTAATGGTGGTGTAATATTAAAAAATAAGTTAGAAGGAGATGTCAAGGTGGTTTTGGGCTGTGGTGATATCCAACTTGATAAAGTACGAGGCGATACTGTCAATCTAACGACAAATGGCGGCAAGATTGATGTCTTGACGCTTGTGGAAGGAAAGACAGTAAGATTCAACGCCACGGAAAGTGTCACATGCAAGCGACTGATGGCAAATAATGCTGAGATCATTTTAGGAAAAGGAGAAATATCGAACTCTGTTTTTGGAGCTATTTACGCTTCAACATGCAATTTTGTGTCTAGAAACCAATCGGGTCAATCAAAGCTTCGTATTGGAAATGTTCATGGATATCTTCGCGTGTCAAGTCAGGGACTTGAAAGTATAGATATAGATAGTGTGACTGGAGCGCTAGACATTGAGGACAGCGGCAATTCTTGCAACGTTATGGCGCACTTTGACTCATGGACCAATCAAATGGCCAGTAATATTCTTGTAGGTGGCGATGTGCACGTTTCTCTTCATCCGTCAGCATCAATCAATGTTGAACTTCATGGCGTACAGGTGACCACAGGAAAAGATACTGAGTTTGTGAACAGTGAGATGGATACACTGGATGAGAATTATGCCATTTTTACTGGTGAACTGTGTGCTCAAAAGACAGCAAAGGATATGTCGTCGGGATCAACGGGTAAGATCAATGTGGACAGCGCGAAAGATGATGCTATGCGCACGTCTTTTTTCATGAACAAAATTACCGACTTAGATGAGACTGAGGTGAAGGCATCACGACTATTCGTTCATTCACTAAGTGGTCAGGTGTTTTTAAATCAATTGAATTGGATTGAAAACCTAGAGCGCAAACACTTAAAGAGATTTGTGTTTGTTGAATGTGGAGGTACAGGTGATTAGTATCGAGATTGACCGCAGAATTGAAAGAATGAGTAACGTTGCGAAAGTAACTCCTTATCGCGAACTTCGATTGTACGCTGCACTTTTTAAAATACACCACTACGAGTGTCATAGTAGCTGTCGCTTTTGAGCTTTGCATGGTATTTTAAAAGCTGGTTAAGATTAATACAACGTGAAAATTTAAATAAGAAATTAAAGTAATGCGTGTAATTTGCAGTGTTGCACAAACTATATGTATTGTACACTATCTGCTTTTCATTTTCAGAAACTGCTTAACGAAACGATCACATTTTGTCAAAAATTGCCAACCACCTATTTAAAATTTGCTCGCGAAAATCTTAATCAATTTAAATAACATTACTTAGAGGGACATAGACTAATTCTGAGGATATTTCAGGCTTGTTTTGTTCCCCATTAACTTGCTGTGCTCCCTCTGTTCAACCTCCATCTCAAAGAGATTGTTTTGAAGCAGTTCCACTGTTGTTAAATTAATGAAATCGGTGTGACTATCAAACGTGTAAATGACAAATGAAAGTAAATGGCAGAATGAGGACTTGGGAACGTAGATTTACGTTTTCGTTAAAACAACTAAGACGTCAGCGTCTAGAAGGTTGATGAAGTACACAGAGCAGAGGAATATATAATATCAGTTCTATAAACTGCTGAAGAAATATTGCTATACTTTCATCTAGATGAGTTGCTCCAACTAATGTCACCTTCAAGAAGAACGCACGGTGGTGTTGGCTCTTAAATTCTCGTGTCACTACCGGAAATAGTGATAGAACACTTTTACGGCGCTTCGCAATTCGGGATAGTTGCAGTAAGTTCACAATCATCGAACGGACAAAAGCATGAAGAAAAACGGATTGATATGAGTTTTAGCCTGTTGAAGAGGTATGGACAAAGCTGAAATTTCTATATGCTCAATTCCTTCAGGATATACCAGTCTCATGCGAATATGAGATTCAGCTGCAAAGCTCAAGAGTCGGTTTGTGGAGTGAACGATTCTTTTTAATCCATGGCCTGGTAGGAAAGATATGAAAGCGTGTGAATTTCTATCATGACCAGAAGATGCAGCTGAAAACAATGTAAACATGTCAATGCGCCAACAAAGCTTTTGCTTCGAAAGGATAAGATTTTTGTCGTGAAGATCACTCGGAGTTCGTGACATATTTGACAAAACACGAGAACGTTTAAACACAATATCCACTTTTCAGAATAGAAATCAGCAACTTTGATCTGCGTTGTCGATCAAGTACAGATTTTAGTTTCTCTTTGCTTAAACAGCGAAGTGACAGACAAAAAACTAAAGCTTAAAGGTCCATGTGGAGTAGTTAAAAACTCCATTGTATTCACAAGAAAACGTATTTGACGTTTGATAATACTGGGTCAGTGTGCCATGACAAAAACGTTCGTTGGGTCTCCATGATTTCTACGGACCGGAATTATGTCTTCATGGTGACAATGACGTATCCACGAGGTCTACATCGACAATGTGGGTTTAGATTGTTTGTGACATGAAGGTTTCGATTTCTCTATAAAACAATATACTATCTTTTTAGCCTGCATACTTCAAAAGTATACCCTCTGCTAACTGGAAAAGCTGTTAAAGAAATTTGTAATATAATGCCCTCAATATTGACGATGTGCTGAGGCTTTAAATTTGCATTACTACAGAATAAATCGAATGGCACAAGAGGTTTTTGTACAAGATTCGGAGCTACACCAACGCAAGCATTTTGAGAATTGGTCAATAAATTGGTCTTGCGTAAAAGTGTGGCTGACTACTTTATCGATGACCCTGACGTCATGCATGTGATGTCTAACCAGGCGAAGCGCATTTTAATAAAGGAAGCAAAATGTTGTTCTGAGGGACAGAGTGAACAACAGTTGAGACAGCAATAGTAGGCAACATTCTGATGGTTAGTTAGGTGGTAAATAATCTAGCAGCATACTTCATCTGCCATCAAATAAAATTTAGAGAGTACTATCATACAAGGTCGGTAACACATGGTCGATGATCTTAACTACAGTGATGTAATCGATGGTGATGATGGCGAATTGTAAAGCGCCATTGTAAGAGACTTGATTATGATTTATCCTTTACATCCCACTGCTTTATTTGGCTATTGAAATATGCAAAATGTGCAGCAGGTAAAGAGTTGCTGTCGCTAAACGATGTAACAATAACCAACCAGTACAGCTATCAGAACGGAGGAAACCAGAGTACAATTCTATGAGACCAACCTTTAAATGAAGCAGCATTGTTTGTAAGTCTTGTTACTAAGACATGGTGTCATGAATGCTATCCAGTAAGCTCGAGTGTAACGATGAAAGGCACTTCTGACACTTTTGATCGTATTTGTACATGACCGTGTTTGCCATTGGATTTTTTTCGTTTTATTGATACAATATCAGTTGTATCCTTCATATTATGGGATTATACTATACTGAGTAATCGTGCATCTGGCTATCGCTCACTTTGGTACTTGCGACTAAACAACTTCTTGTCGAGTTGTAAATCATAAACGTCCAGCACGTCTTTCATAGAATTAGGTAATGAATATGAGTTTGCGATAATTCGGGGGATTACACACGCTACACCACGAACTATCGATATCTGACCCTGCAATTTAAGAGATTTCACATGCATTACAAACATGGCGTTACAACTTATCGATGCTGCTAACTATAAGCTTATATTACATTTTGCTGGTTAGAATCATGCTGTCGCGTAAAGTACAGATCTCAATCACGAATCCCATAAGGAATTGAAAAGCATGGACCAAACGTACTGTGGTGTACCTTTGATCAATTTATGACTCGCTGACGCACTGGGCCATTTCCAATTTTACTCTCTTCAATCCACTTGCATCACTTCTAGTCCGATGGTATCGTCAGAAATAAGTACGCTTGCTATTATATCAGCAATGTCAACTGTGGCCCTCTTGGCTCCCAATGTTATTGCACATCAGATCATCTTGCTTCCAGAACCTCAATGGAAGACGAACGACAAGGACACCAAATACAACCCTCTCGCCTTTCTGGAAAATCAAAATTTTCCGACTTCCGCAGACTTCGGGGGTTACTTAAAAAAAAATAACTACAACTCACTTCGTGATTTTCTCAAACGCGCGAATTACACCGTGACCGAAGGAGCTGATAGAGACTGCGGATTCACGGATCCCAATGGTACGCCCCAGCCCATTCCAGCTGGCAACAATATGCGATTCACTGGATACACTCACGATGGCCTCTGTGAGATGTGGCTTGATGACACCAAAGTGCTCAGCGGATCCAACTGTCACAACGACTTTCCTGGAAAAGACTGCCCTGTCGATTACTCGTCGTGCAAGGACAATTGTGTCATGTACTGGTACTGGCTGGCCGTTCGTCTTCTGAAAAATGAGTATTCGTGGCAAGTCTATAAGGCCTGCATTCCACTGACGAGATCAGGTAAAACTGGAACACCGGACAAGAAAAAGTTGCGCGTGTAATCGAGTATTAAGTGGATCTGCCTTGCGTGTAAGGATGAACTGTATTTACAGTTTTCTAACCTCCAGTCTGCTTATTTATTTCTTACAAACAAAATAAATGATAAACATTCATCTCACCTTCTGAATAAATTCTCAACCACAGACTGGTTCACTTTCTTTTGTCTACTTGCCTACAAGCTTAATGCTGGTGATTGCACACAATTTTATTTGAAAAATCTCACATGTAAAAATGCCTGGTTATTTGGTACGACAGAACGATCTGACAAAGATAACAAACGAACTCAACACAAAGCGACAGCTGTTTTGATCATTCAAAGTGCTCAGCATTGTACTGTAGCCTCGTACCTGTGTATTTCTCCAGACGTGTCAGCTAATAACAATGAAGATGGGATTTTTCATAATCATTGTTGTGGCACTGGTGCAGTGGTAGGCGATTCGCAATATTAAGTATCTCATGTTCACTGTCAGCACCATGATCCTTGAAAATGTCTCTGGCTAGCATTATCGTAAAAAGTGTATCTGCAGGTAGAGCTGTAATGCCAAATGCACAAAAACAATCAGGCTTAGAGTTTGTTGCACTCACATAGTTGACCGAGAATGAAGCATCTGTTGCTTTTCTTATAATTCCACCATGCACAGCTACAACAAGCAAATCTTAACTATAATTCTGACAGTATCAACCACTAAACTTCTGCTTGCTGATAGCCGTCGAGCAAAACAACGCGCGGATTGAGTTGCTTCAAAAATGGTTGCCACCAATAAGAAGCTTAGTCGTATGAGAGGGCTAACTGTTAAGAAAGACGAAGTGGGTATATTGAGGTCCTTAGTTCGCTATTCCGAGTTACCTCTAAGCCTTTCCCATGACGTTATTCAGGGCGCAATTATGACGCGTCATCGTGTGCGCAATCACATTGTCCTTTGGTCCGGAGATTCGATCGCGCAACGTATGCTGTAAGCCGTTCTTCTACCACTCCTCCTCGCGATCGTGTCTCCGCCGCCATAACTAGCGCAACCCACGAGCGCTCGCAGCTCTGCAAGTTTGTGCTAGTCTAACGCCTTTGTCAGTAAGTCCGCGAGCATAAGGTCGGACCGGACGTAGCGCATCTCAACGACGCCGCGACGAGCAAAGTCCTTAACAAACTTGAGGCGCACGTCGATGTGTTTAGTTTTTAGAAACGAAGTCTCTCCTTCGATCTGGCGAATCGTGGCCTGGTTATCCACATGCATCGACAAAGGCTGAGTCGGTGCAAGTCTTACCAGCTTAAGCATATCTTGAATACCGCGACAAATTCGGCCTCCATAGTTAAGATAGGGACGCCACCTTGTTTCTTGGCTGACCAGCTTACAGGTATCCCATTTAACAAACCGATAGCACCAGTGAGCGATTTTCTGTCCCCCTTGCCGGCAGCAAAGTCGGCATCACTGTAAAACTCGGGCGTTATTTGTTCGTTGCGGTCGGTATTAGTGTGCATTTCACGCCACATTACCTTGCTGCCACTAAGATAGCGCGCTATCCTCTTTGCGAGTTTCCAGTCTCGTACGCACGGTGCATGTGTCTGGCGCGTGGCTTTGTGAACCGCAAACGCAATGTCTAGACGTGTGCATCATGCAATCCATAGCAAACTGCCGACCAGCGACTGACACGAACGAATACTTGGTGACCCGGATTCTGGATTTTCCTGCAGCAGCGCACTACCTGGCGTGACTTCTTCGTAGAAATCGTCACCAATAGGCGTCCGCGTGGGGTTGGCCGAACCCATGCCGTGCTCACGCAA